TTATTCTCGTTTATTATTCTCTTTCCCTGTGCTCTTCTGCTCTGCCAGCCTCGTTTGTGAACTGGAAATTGAGGAGAAAAGCACCTGGGAGAACAGAGAGTGGTGGTGAGAGAGTCACAGGCAGCAGGAGTGGCAGTGGGCCCTCCCCTATTGCATACCCCCTTTTGTTCTGAACCCCCCTCCCATGTTCTGTGCTTTGCATGCAGTTTGCGGGAGACCCGGGTTTAAGCAGGACGACCTGCTGCCTGTCTGTGTCGCTGAGCCTGAGGACTTGGCCGTGACGCGACTTCCACCTTCATAGAGCCCTCGCTGATCACCGCTCGTGCAAAGCCGCTGGCCTAGTGCGCACGCAAGCTGGCAAGGGTGGAGAGAGCGGCGTGAGGGAACAGGGTGGGGATTACGTAGAACGGTGTTCCCCGGTGAATTGGTTAAAGCGGGCAAAAAACTGGATGCTGCTGGAGCCATCCGGTGGGGTTTGGGTCACTTTAAACCTCTCGTTTCTTTTCATTTCAAAATGGTTTCTCAGCAACTGCTTTCTGGAGTGGTTAACCGTAAATTCAGCATGAGTACAGTGAGGTGAAAGTCGAGATATCCAAAGCAGCAAGTGTGTACAAAAAAATACAGATATAATCAATGTTCCCTCTAAGATGTGGAGTCCTGTGGGCAAAAATTCTACTTTGTGAGCTACTGGCATTAAAGTTGTGAGCAAGCGATTTGACTACTGCATCAATTAGTTTGCTCTGGAGCCCTCCTTCCTGAGCTAAGACAAAAATGTGTGAGCCCGAGGCTAAAAAACTGTGAGCTAGCTCACACTAACTCAGCTTAGAGGGAACACTGGATATAATCCAGTGATAATCTCATAAGGCAGGGTCATCTCTAAAATATGTGGTCCGACAGTGGCTACCTGATCTTATGAAAGGACAGAAGCACCTTAAGTTGTTTAAAAAAAAAAAAATTACGTCTCCTAAAAATGGTAGGGAGAGGAAGAGACTATAATAGTTGACCTTACTGTTGCTGAGAAGGGCTCAGAACCGGCAGTCCCCGTGGGAAAAGGGGTTCTGACTCCATGTGCAGCTCTGTACTTAGCATGGCATTGGCTTAGCAGTGTGTCGGGAATGTTGATGCATCATCTGCCAATGACTCTTTAGCTTTTTGTGTAAATAAAAGCCTCCACCTCAAACCCAAACAGGCCTGTGGCTGAACCACCTCATCTCTTCCTGTCATCTGTGCCGCTGCTACCTTAGATAGCAAGCCTGCCTGCGAGTGCCTGTCCTTATTTTTGCGTGCAGTCCTTTGGGATAGGCATTTATGTAAACACTGGTTTTGTTGCTGTTGAAAACAGCCCAAGAATGCAAGAACTGCATTGGGTGCCTTGGGGTTCGTTGCCATGCTAGGGGTGTTACACAAATTTCAGCTTTTCTGGAGTGCTACATTTTCGTGGAAGTAGTGACAGACTTCACGTTCCTGGGATCCCAGATCACCACAGACTGTGGCTGCAGCCATGAAATTAAAAGACGCCTGCTCCTTAGGAGGAAAGCGATGGCGAACCTAAACAGCATGATAAAAAGTAGAGACATCACGCTGCCAACAAAAGTCAAAGCAATGGTATTCCCAGTAGTCATGGATGGCTGCGAGAGTTGGACTATAGGGAAGGCCGAGCGCCGAAGAATAGACTCTTTTGAACTATGGTGCTGGAGAAGACTCTTGAGAGTCCCTTGGACTGCAAGAAGATCAAATCAGTCGATCCTCAAAGAAATCAACCCTGACTGTTCCCTGGAAGGCCAGATAATGAAACTGAAGCTCAAATACTTTGGCCACCCAATGAGAAGGGAGCCCTCACTGGAGAAGAAGACCCTGATGCTGGGACAGATTGAAGGTCTAAGAAGACGGGGACGGCAAAGGACGAGATGGTTAGACAGTGTCAATAATGCAACGAACATGAAATTGAGCAAACGTCAGAGGACGGCGGAGGATAGGAGGGCCTGGCGGGAGCTGGTCCATGGGGTCGCGAAGAGTCGGACTCGACTGTGCGACTGAACAACAACATTTTCTAAAAGAGACTAGAGAGAAGCCGGTGTCACTGCGAGCTTTCTTACGTGTCTGTTCTTGTCCTCTGCTGAAACGGAGGTGAACTTCTGCGTTTGGTAGCTTATTAGCTGCCGTTCATTTGTTCATAGTTAACTGTCACGTATCGTCAACACTAGCAGCTTTGAACCACCAGCCTGGCTGTGAAATGCTCCCATTCCCTTTTCATATGAAGCTCAAAGGCCTGGCAGTGCTGCCCCCAAACCACCACTTTGAAACATGCCAGACCTCTTGTGCAAAACCTGACATCTTCTTTGTTCGTTTCCACACATACTCTGGTCCTTTCCCTATATTTAGTAAATTTCACTTCCCAGCATCAAATTAGTCCTATCCCAGGACATTTCTAGAGGAAACTAAGAAAATCCGTTGTGTAACTTGCTCAGGATGATTTAGATGCCACCCGAAAAAGTAAGCTTTTGTAAGTGGTGTAGAAAACCATCTGTGTTTCTAATGTATCTAAACCATCAGGGCTTCCAACGTCCTGGCCATTGGACTGATCTAACATGGGCTTCTCTGTTATGTTCTTATGGGGCAAGGGATGCTCTGTATACTTGGTCCCGGGGGGGGGCAACAGTGGGAGGGCTTCTAGTGTCCTGGCCCCACTGCTGGACCCCCTGATGCCACCTGGTATTTTTGGCCACTGTGTGACAGATTGTTGGACTGGATGGGCCTTTGGCCTGATCCAACATTGGCTTCTCTTATTGTGGGGCAGGGTGTTCCCTGTTTTCTTGGGGCCTGGGGGGGGGGGGTCAACAGTGGGAGGGCTTCTAATGTCCTGGCCCCACTGGTGGACCTCCTGAGGGCACCTGGTATTTCTGGCTACTGTGTGACACAGAGTGTTGGACTGGATGGGCCTTTGGCCTGATCCAACATTGGCATCTCTTATGTTCTTCTGCACAGTGGTTCTTGGAATTCCAAGTATAAAAACAGCTTGTCTTGCAAAGTGGGTTATTAGAACAACTGAAAAATTCTGAAATACTTGTAGTGGCACATTTATGGGAAAGATTTCCCTGGGGGATAGAGTGAAGGATGAATCCTGAGTATCTCTCTGGCTCTTCATTTGTGGCTTTAGGAAAACCAAATGCTCATTGCTTAAAGTGCTTTGATATCCGACTGTTTGTGGAGAGTTAGTTGACTTCCCCAGAATGCAGACTTCATTTCTTTCCGCACACAGCTGATATTGGTATGGCTGTCCTAGGTTAGCTTCTAATTCTCCTTGTGCCTGTAACAAGCACAGGTGCGCATGCACACAATGCTAACGAAAGCGAAATCAGTACTTAATTTCTGGAAGTTGGTTTATGCTCATCGCTGCCTTTAAACAACCCCCCCCCCCATTACTTACATTGCGGTGGCTTTTTCTTCCTCCTTGGCATTGAGCCTCTGTTCTTTCACAAATACTGTTGAGACTCCAGGAAGGGGAAAAAATGCAATACTTGGCTTGCATCACAGGGCTGTAAAGCACATAGGTAGGTGGGGGACATCTGTAATTCACGAAGGCCTGGAATGTACCGGGAGAGAGTTCTGAAGCTTTAGTCCTCCTTCTCTTAGTGTTCTGTGTTGCATATGGATCATATGTCCACAAGATGCAGGCTGGACCAGATGTCCACAAGGCCTGGAAAGTACCGGGAGAGAGTTCTGAAGCTTTAGTCCTCCTCCTCTTAGTGTTCTGTGTTGCATATGGATCAGATGTCCACAAGATGCATCTCTGGAAGCTCAACCCTGTGGGGAAATTCTGGGTGCAGGAATATACATGACCATCCTGGAGAGCTTTCCCACACACAGCCTACCTACCCCCAGTGGAAAGGGCAGCGTCCCACGTAAATGATGTTGCTACCAGTGTTCCCTCTAAGCTGAGTGAGTGTGAGCTAGCTCACAGTTTTTTTAGCCTCCGGCTCACACATTTTTGTCTTAGCTCAGGAAGGATGGCTGAAGAGCAAACGAATTGGTGCATTAGCCAAATCGCTCGCTCACAGCTTTAATGCCAGTAGCTCACAAGGTAGAATTTTTGCTCACAAGACTCCACGGCTTAGAAGGGAGCCTTGGTTGCTACCCCGTTTTTTTAGCTTAAGATGTAGCTGCTTGCCCCTTCTCCGACAACAGAAACAGAACAATCCTGTCCAAGTTGTTCTTTTTGGATTATTGCCCTGTTCTTTGTACATAAGGGAAGGGCTGAGTCATTGTAAGTCTCCCTCCTCTTCCCCTGACCGTTTGACAGTGTGTTTAAGTGACAGGGCAGCTGTGTGACAAAGAGTTTGGCGTCTGCAAGGAATTAACACAGAGCAGGATTCATAAGGCATCTTCCCCCCCAATATGCCAATTTTAAAATGTTTGCCGTACTTTCTCATGATCTGTTTTAGAGAATGTGCTGCAGATGACTGGAGATCCCTTTAGATAGGAGTGCCGTGTAAATAGGGCCTGTATGGTTCAGGACCTTATAGAAAAAGAGAAGACCGTCTATTCTGTATTAAATGCAATCATGAACTGTATCAGCACCAGTGTTCCCTCTAAGCTGAGTTAGTGTGAGCTAGCTTACAGTTTTTTAGCCTCTGGCTCACACATTTTTGTCTTCCCTCAGGAAGGAGGGCTCCAGAGCAAACTAATCTATGCAGGAGCCAAACCGCTTGCTCACAATTTTAATGCCAGGAGCTCACAAAGGTGAATTTTTGCTCACAAGACTCCACAGCTTAGAGGGAACATTGATCAGCACAGCTAGCTTTTATATCGAACAGGCATGTTGTGCTTTGTTGACCTGGGTTGGGAAAAGCGTTGAGTGTCCTAAAAAGAGTGAAGGGCTGTGGTGCCATGGTGGGGCGCGTCTGCTTTGCATGCCAAAGGGTTTAGCCCTCGACATCTCCATCTGAAAGGATCGGGTCACAGATAATGTGAAAGTCCTCTGCCTGAGATCCGCTTCTTGCCAGTGCTGACCTGGACAGACCTACGGTCTGCTGTAGACAGTTCTATAAATAGAGCGCAGCCCTTGTTCTTACAGGCAATCAGAGAGCTCCCCAAGTGCATTTCATTGTCGGCCCTTTGTTATGAATTGATACTTAGCTCAATAGAAGCCTGTGCCTGGCTACGTGCTTTTAATTTTTTGGTTTCATCTATTTTTTTTGAGGCCCTTCAGTGTGGCTTGGTAAGCCTGACCCTTAGGAACGCTTATAAGGCTCCAGCTTTTTGAACAGAAGTTACCGCTTGTA